TTTTCCTTGGAGAAAATGGACTTATATTGGAGTTAAAAATGACTGAAACCACAATAATTCCTTACGGCAATTGTTTAAGTTCAAAAGTATAACAAGTGGTGCAGAGAAAGTTCTCAACACGTTATCAGCTATAGATCAAAACACACAAGAATACTTAGAAACAGAAGTGCATGAGGAAACATTCAGAAAAGAGATGACTTTAATTTTTTCCAATGTTAGTGCAGCACAGGTGATGCTATTTTAAAAAATTATTTATTGAATTATGACAGAGGTCATCAAACTTATTTTCTTTTTCACAGAAACTGTGACTTTATGGAAGTCTTCTTTGCATAAATGTAGTTTTACCAAAGTTACTGATGATTAAAACCAAAATATATGATTGCACACGCATTATTTACACTTGCAAAATATAACATGTGGTGCAGAAAATGTTCACAACAAGTTAGCAGCTATAAATGAAAGCACACAGGAATATTTAGAATGAGAAGTGGATGATGAAACATTCAGAAAAGAGATGCAATGGCAGTGCAGCACAGGAGATTCTAGCTTCAAGTATTGATTACAGAATTATGGCAGAATTGATCAGACGTATCTATTACTGAAAGCAGAGACTTTTTGAACATATTTTTTTAGAGAAATGGGGTAATATTCTAATTAGGTATGGATTTAATCATAATGCTTTGTTGCAGGCATAGTTTTTATTCAGACGTAGAAAATGTTACGGTGTGCTGGCTTGGCTTGTTACTGATTACAAATCAAAAATAATTTTTGGTTTCCTGATTCTTTTCTCTCCTGCATTCTTTCTAGGAGATGAAATAATTTTATCTGCTCTCTTCTGAAATTTCAATTTCTCTTTTTTTCTTGTGTTTGTTTTACAGAAGCAGTGGCCTGTTTTTGTTTCTCATTCTGTGCTCTAGCATCAACAATATACTTCGGTTCTCTAAGAGACATTTTTCTTGGTGCTCTTGGATCAACAAGCTCAGGAAGAATACAATTCACGTAAAAATTTTTCGAGTTTTGGAACTAAACTGATCCAGAAAGTTTTGTCTTCGGGTATTCTTAATGTGATTGCATCTTCTCTGCACCATATATATAAATCACACCAATTCCTCTCTGTTATGGCTAACTGCCCTTGAATTTGAAAATAATATTTGTGGCTTTTCGGTAAATAAAGATTATTATCAGCATCCATCCGAAGACCAACAGAATTAGGCTTGCTGAAAAAGTCTGACAAGTCTGCTGAGAATCTGGCTGTATAAGGACATTTTATTTCAAGTAATCCATCTTCGTCTATCAATCCATCTGGCGAAAGTACAAAGAAAGGGATATTTAGGATCAATAAAAAGGCCACAACGTCTGATGTTTTTTCCCATGTGCTTTTCCTTGTATTGATTTAAGGCTACTGCTTCATTAGCCAAACCATACTTTAATGCCAGCTTTACTTTAATGAAAAGCTTCAGTTATCTTCTATATGCTTACCTCCCCCCTTTTTTTTTTTTTTTTCCTAAAGAGTTAGTAAAGGCATTACCAGTTATATGGTACATTGGTGTCCCCCATACTTTTACCTTTACCTTTACCTTAGTTGAAACGTTACATTATATATGATACGTTCACTAAAGCAGCACTGAGTGTTGTTGGACGCCTATCAGCAACATCTTTGAAAAAGGATGATGATATTCTTCTTGATCTTTCGTGACGCCATCTTTCAGATGATGACTGTCCACGTGTTACGGCCTCAAGAGAATCTTTTTTTTGGAACTTCAATTGATATAAAAAAAATTTTTAGCTGCCAATTCATATGCTTCGTCTGATAGGTCTGGTTTCTCAGGAAAATCACCATAAGAAATATCCCCCACCTTGCTGAATATGTCCTGCTTTCCTCATATTTCTCTTTTTTCTTCTCAGTGTCAAAAGTCTACGTCTCTCAAGATGTTTTACATGGCGCTTATTTCTGGAAGCTAAGAATTTCAAAGTTGGAGTCCTGGGGCTACTTCCTGTTACAAGCTTTTTGTGCATTTTTTTGCCACTGCTGTGCTGGATTTTGATAGGCCATGACAGCAATACTCGCACGCCTGTTCATGCCACCAGCTTTGGAAAAATCAACTCTTTTTCCACCAGATGTTTTACAAGATGTTTACACAGTTGACTCATGAAGCTTTCAGCAGGATTATTTTTGTGGCATTCCAAATAAGAGTACTGCTACACGATATCAGTACTCTTCCCACTTCTGCTTCAATAGCTTGCAACATACCCGAGGAAAAATTTCATTGTATGTGCTGTCCAACTCTGCACCTTTCTTGGCACAAAAAGCACTACAAGCATCATGCTTGCCAAATACATGATGTGGCCCATTTCTCAAGTCAGATACTAATGCATCAATAGCTTCTTGTGTGTGCTGATAATGGCTAGGTAAAGCATGAGCTTTTATAGCTACTCTAGCACCTCTGACTAACAGTGGCATTTTAATTTTCACAGCAATTTACGGGCAGCAATTCCTTTAGCCCCGGGGAAGCGCGCAGTATTTTGCTGAAGTTTCTCAAGAGCTCTGCGATATCTTCGAATAGCATGGTTACACATTCTACTTTGATCACCCGTCCTTCATATGAAACGCTTTCTTTCACTTTGGCCATTGTGTTAGCAATCTCCATCTCCAACAGTCGAGTACAACGTATTTTGTGAACACACTGGAGATAATTCAGACCTCCCAATGGCACTGCTTTTCCATACCTGTAGAAAGCCCCATTCCAATTTCGCCAACAAGGTGCACTTTATTTGGGCATCTTGCCATCTTCAATAGCACTACATAAAGGCACACTTTATTGCGAATTCCAACAAACAAAATTTTCTGGGTGACCATGCCTATAATAACAGAATGCCACTGAAGCATTGTAACCATGCCCATAGCTTCTTTTACACAACCTCCATCACATGACAGTTTACAGTGACCCTCATTATCTTTATTATTGCAAGTTCTGCCGCCTTTTCTCCTTTATAGCAGCACAAGTTTCCTGTGCACATCCTGTATTATTTGCCAGTAGTCGCTCACAAGAAGCAAAGGTCGAGTTGCTCATATACGGATTCCATGTGCTAAACTTTTCCTCCTCTTGTGAAAATCCTGCCAGTAGATAACGCACCTAATACTGCAAGCTGATTTAGGCTGCTTTTTCATATCAAACAATTGTTGCATTTCCCCACATAAAATTTTATCACATATAGTTGACAAGACCACGTCGAAACTTTGTTAAAAATAAAATGATCCTCCAATTTTACAATTTAGGGAATGTTCTCTAATGTCCTAGCCTGCACTATTACAAAAGACATATTGCAATTGTTCGCCAGATGGTAAGATTGCCTTTCTCGATCCCTTTCGATAATTAAAGGTGACAGGACACAGAAATATCATAAGGTTCCTAAGAGGCTCAGACTCCAAGCTAAAATATATATATATATATATATATACACAATAATATACATATATATATTAATATATATAATATTACAAATTAGGTTTAAATTTGGCTTATTTGATGACAGCAAAAGCACTTGATTCCTAAGAGGAGGGATGCTTTCATGGAGGACTTTCTAAGGGAAATGGCTCATATACACGGGGAAACCATGAAAACGCCCATGCAGGCAGCCCATTCGCAATTAGGTTTAGGAAATTTAGGCAACAGATAGCAAATAATTAACAATAATAATACACTGGATTATCAGTATATTACTACAAGAAGATGAGTCATCTTCACAACTGTTGCTTCCATGCTTGCAGTGTCATTTGCTCAAACAATATTAGTCAATACTGTGTGCCGGAGGTTTCACATGAAGAGCCTTTACACCCGAGTATAAAATGTTTGTGTTCCAGTAAACATTGAATTCAGAGGGTCAAGAATAACTCTTTCATGGTGGATGCCTGAGTTACCAAATGGCTCTCTAAGGCTCTGTTCAAGCCGTTGCATAAATGTCATAATTATCAACTAACAACGCTTCGTAGTTAGACCTTGCTATGTCTCAAAAACTAGTTCGGGCATTAAGTTTGAAGTTTTCAACTTTGTGCCGACTTGGTATAAGAGTCGGCCAATCAGAGCATATACATGAAACCTATTGAGAGAGAAAGCTGTGGACACATACGTGCATGCACAAATTTATCTTCTCTAATTGGCTACGGCTTAGACCCTCTCTCGCAGGTGTGAATTGGAACTCCCACATTTTGTGCCTTATGATTATGCGTCTATGACATTTATACCATCCATCTGAACGGAGCCTTAGGAGGGCATACTAAGAAGATGCAATGTCTTGTGGGGATAAGCAATTTATACTCCTAAGCCTAAAAAAGAAAAAACTTGGGAAAAAAAAAAAAGATCACATGACTTAAATTTGTTGTCTAATTGCTCTAATTGAGGCACATTACGAGAGGAAAGCAAAGGTAGTAATCAGAATTATTTAAAAAATTTTATCCTTATATTTTTCTTAAAAATTCTGTAAAATAATAAAATTTTGGTTTTCCTCAAATAATATATATGGAAAAAATAATAGCCACATAATTTTCCATATATATTATTTGAGGGGAAACCAAAATCACAGATTTCATTTTGTTATATTTTATTAACAAAATTTAAATTATTAAAAATCTCTTTCATGAAGGGAACATAAAACATCATGAAAACAATGAAAAGAAGCAATATTTAAAACAGATAGTAGGCTTATTGATGAGGCTCCCATCAAAAGAATCGAACCCCACAATATTTTCATTTGCTTCAGTGTCCCGTCTGAAAATTTCACTGATTTCAAGGAATATATTTAAAAAAAAATCTTTTATTTACAAGTTCTTTCATACAAAACGTCCAAATTTGGTACAAATCAAATTCATCCTCCTCTTTTTGATAGCTATAATATTATATATAACAGTTTTAATAGCTTTCAGTATGTAAACCACATAATATAACACCATAAAAGAAAAACATAAATGATGACATTTTAATTTTGGCCATAGAGAAATACATATTTACCCCAAAAAAGAGAGCTTGTATTTCTACCTTCTACGTCAGAGTCAATAACTGAAATGTCCAGATCAGAACTGAGAAGAAGAACCATAATTAGTTTAATTAAGATACAATAACACACACCGACCAAGTATTAATTTGAGAGTCAAGCAACAAAAATCAGCATCATATTTTGAAATATTCACTATTTGAAAATATAACGCTGATTTTGGTTGCTTGACTTCTAAATTAATACATAATTAGTTAACCATAATTAAGTAACTGTAAGAGTTTCAATATCATGCACAGCTAATATCTATTTTAGAAATAAACCAACTTACCTCAGGAAAGCCTGGTTTGTCTTAGGAACATTAGCTGTAACTTCTGGCGTAGAAAAGTCAAATTTTTCACTTCCGGACCTAAGAATGAAAGAAATAAACTGCTATAACATAATTAAAAAAAAAAAAAAAAAAAAAAACATGAATAAATAAATAACACATAACAAATTTAAGCATTAAGCTATGTATGACTACCACCCATCTCAGACAGTGCGACAGATATTGCTGTATACTGTTTCGCCATACCTGTGGTAGCTATTATATCATGCTGTATAACCACAGTTTAGAAAAATTACAAAATGTGTTATTTATATCTATCTAAAAATGGTACATTACTACATGATTTGGTAAGAATAAATTAGAGGGCTCTGCGAATGAAATTCCTTCCAATTAAAAAATGTAGGAATAAAGAAAATGCAGGAATTGCAAATGCAGAAATGAAAAAGGGATTATATTTTTTGCACAGAATCCAGATGACATATTTTTCAACATTTTAGAAATTTCAATATTAATTTTAGGGCCTAAAATATTAGGCCCCTAAAAGCAGAATATAGTTTTTAAATGTTCAGATAATCTTCCTATGAGAAGAATTCCTTTGAGAAGTACACATCTGAACCACAATTAAAAACAATGTACAAGAACAGAGCTGAGGACTTCTGTTTGCAGAAAGTCTGTCACATAACATGTGAAAAGTTTCTTATTGGTAGATTATTGATCAGACAGATATTTTAATGTTATACAGAGAAAGCATTCACTTCCCTTTATCACTAGAGATAATTCAATATTGGACAATGGCAAAAAGGCTAGCAAAGCAAACATGAAGCGTATTGGTTCCCATTCTTGGCACTAGTATAGGTTCTACGCTCAAAATACACAGCAGGTATTTTCTCATTACCTTGCATCCCAATATCAGTTCAATTCAGCTTTTGGTGGAATTTACCATTTGTGACATATTTTTCAAAAACTACACTTCACAACATGCATACATGACAAATACACAGAACCATAAATAAACAAGCAATAAATATATTTATATATAAATTTACTAAATGATCATAAAATGTTCCAACGCTAAAAGAAAGTTTTAACATCCAAGTAAATGACATAATAAAAAAAGCAAGTTGAACAGCGAGCACATGAATAAATGTGCATACACCTGTAAAAATACCATAGGTAACTGACAAAGCATTTCGTAGCAAACATATGACTATAAAATTTCCAATAATACATGTAATGATGGTGAATTCAATTTAGATCGCAAGAACATGCTCATACTTTTGAAAAGATTCAATTATTTCAGCATTCCTTGTGAATTGGAATTTACCCTTTCAATTTTCCCAACAATTTAGTGTGAATGGAGGAATAAATTGTTATAACAGAATTGAACAATTATTAGCATCCCCTCATACACACACATACAAAAAAAAAAAAAAAAAAAAAAAAACTTACTTTGTAAAAAATCATCCGGGCAATGATTCTCCTTTGACACAGATGCAGTTGTATCAATAATTTCTGACCTTCAATAAAAAAAATGCATATTTTTCGGAATATTTTACTTCGAATTATACACGAAATCATAAAACCGGGTAGTCGATATAAAAATAATAATTTCTCACCTTTCGAAAACATCCGCTTGTTCGGAATCTTCCACACTCGGAATTTATTTCATATTTTTTCTTGAGCTCGACGTTTCGCTGATTCTGGATCTTTTATTAAAACCAGGATGTTTTTTCGGTCGTCCTTGATATTTTCGCATATTTTTTTGCAAACTGACCACAGTACAAATAAATGTAAACAAAAAGAGTGCGGAATAGCAATGCAATAGGGTTGCCGTAAACGTCATTCTGCTGACAGCTGACAATGTTTAGTGAAAACTGTGTATAAAGGAATATATGAAACGCTTCTAATATTATTTAGAAAAAAATATGATTTATAACTGATATCAAAATCAATTACTTCGTGAATTTTGCAGAAATAAGATTAAATGTTAAATTTTAAACTCGTAGCGCGCCATCTATTGATGGCTTTCCAAACTACACATTAAAATTACGTATTTCAAATAATTTTTTTAAAATTTTTGTAATCATTCAAATATTACATGTTGAAAACGACCTATTTTATATTTCTGCAATTTCGAAAGAATTAGCGATCCGTGAAAAAAATTTTTAGTATTGTAATTTGTTAGAATTAAATTATTATGAGGTGGAAATTTACGCAAAATCTTTAGTGAATGGTTATTGTTTAACGCCGTAGTGTATTTGAGGAAAGAGGAGAATAATTCACTGCTGATGTATACATTAACAGTATGAAAAGTCTGGAAGGTGATACTCGGCAATAAATGTGCTGCATTTCATCGCAAAAATTCAGCGACGCCAGTAAAAACAAACGAAAGTGTTTGAAAAACTTATCCACATCTGAAGCCACTATACAAAAATTATATGTGTGCCAATACAGCAATTTAAATAAAAAAAAAAAAAAAAATTGCAAAAATGACTTGCAGAAAACTTCAGATCAAGGAATAAGAAAGAATTGCAGTGCCTCTATGTGCTTAAAAACTACGAAGCATTCTGCAGACTTTCGTGCCAAAATCAAGTTTGACAAATAGATTAATACATTTTATTGTTTCTTTTAGTGTATATATTTCAAAATTATTAAAATAACTTGAACAGTTGTTCAAGTTGCTTAAAACAGCAATAAAGTTCATTTATAAAGATACACAAGGAACTTCATAATTCATTGCTTTGATGAACAACTGAAATTTACTAAATTACCTAACTTTATAACATTAAATATCTTTGTAACTGTGTTATTATGCTCTGTTTTATAAAAGCTTAACTACTTCTAAAAGCTTAGTTACTTACTATTCATTTGTTATACATTAAAATATTTTCTGATTTATTTACTAAATGTATTAAGATTATTTATTAAGAATTTCCATACATGCTTGTGCAGTGTGAATGCATGTTTGTGTAATGAACTTTGATTTTCATGAACGAAAAAGAAATACAATCTCCGAATAAGTGTTTTTTGTTTTCCAGTTCCTGTGTTTAGCTGTAAAAGTAAATTCACTTCAAGTATGTGTCTGTGTAATTTTGACGATGTAAATGCTGAAATGTATGTATAGTAAAAACTCGACAAAAAAAATATCCGGAAAGCTCTTGAAATTTTGGATAGCCGAGCATATAAAAAATGAAATATTGTAATAGGAAATTGTTTTTTTCAAAAGCAATTGATACTGTTTTTTTACAAAATTTAACCTGGGATCAGAAAATTTGGGGGGTCACCAATTAAAGAAATTTATTGCAAGATAACGGAATTGAAGAGAATTTGGAGTTTTTTAAATTTTCAGGAATTTAAATTAAACATTCCATATTTTAATCTGATTTATTTTTCCACTTTTTATGTTATGTTTGATGATTTCCAAACAGCTCGAATCAAATTCAAAGCAACTACAACGCGCAGTAGGATGTAGTTTTTTTCGGCTATCGTATTAGGTCTTGCATGCAATTTGTAATTGTAATACGCATCATTATAAACTATGTTTCTTATTTCTAATCAAATGTTGTTGTCAAGTAAGCACATACCATTTCCTACCATTGGAATTCATAGGTCTCAAGGATAATAAACAATTTTTTTCGTTGCAATTTTATTCATGATGGTTAAATGGCCCAAATCTGTAAGAGAAATGGGATGGATGCACCAACATCAATAAACTTAGAGAAAAACTATTAATGAAAATGCAAACAAAAATGTAACCATTGGCTCTCTTTCTACTTCTAAAAATAAAAAAATAAAAAAAAAAAATTTTTAAAAAAATTGAGTAAATATCAAGAGTTTATACTGTTTTACATGTCGCATTATCAATGGAAAAAGAATATCTATTGTGTGTTAAATGCAGTGAAAACTTGGCAAATGGAAAGCATGAAACCTGTGAAATTAAAAATACATTTAGAAATGGTACTTTTCCTGTTTTGCCGCCGCAAACAATAAAGTCACCAACAACGGTACTACTGATTCAGAAGTCAAACAACCAAAATCAGTGTTAATTCACAAAATTTTCACAGGACTAGTTTCGATGGTTTTACCGAACCATCATCTTCAGCTGCAAAACCGCAAATGAAATGCGGTTTTGCAATCATTTGCGGTTTTGCAGCTGAGATGATGGTTCGGAAAACCATCGAAACTAGTCCTGTGAAAATTTGTGATTAACGCTGATTTTGTGTTTGACTTCTGAATCAGTATTTATTCGGCGTGTTATTGTGTCTTAATAACGGTAACTAGTTTCCAAAGGAATACCTTCGCTGCCATCCTTCGTTTTCCGCTCATTTTTTAAACAAGTCGCAGCCATTCTTATCAGATTGTTTTTTCAATACTGGCATACAACTACATAGAATTTTACAAGATAATTAAAATTTATGCCCAGACCATTCCGGTAATTAGACAATTAGACTGCAATCACACCACTCACCCGAAGGCAAAATGAAGGGTTAAATTCATCAATTCTAATGAGAATGCAGTAGCGAAGTAAAGCACTGCGGTTTTACATATTTCTGAGTAAGTTTTACGAATTGAAATAATTCTTGCATTTAAACTTGCATCCAAATTAAGATTAACTGAAATTAATGTAGATAATTACTGAGAGAATTAGATTTTTGTAGCGTAGTTTACGTGAGATGAGATCACGTGATATGAAACGGTGAGTCAGAATTTTCTACCATAAAGCATAGTAAGTTCTTAAATTAATGTCTTTTTGCAAATTTATCGTCTTTATTTATTGTCTTTTTACAAAATTTTAAATGATATTAAAATGTTTGTGCCTTCAAAATAAAAAATTCTTAGAACTAACGTATGTTTACATTTTTTATGTGTATATTGTATGTTGTCGTCAACTAAGTCTGCTTGGCAAGATTTGCGCCAGTGAAACTGAAAGGTACCTCAGAAACTAACCATAAAGATTAAGTAAATAAATCTGAAGATGGCTGATCTTTGGAATATGGTAACTGATAGTTTGGTGACATTTTGGAGGCGATAAAGGTTTACTACCTAGGATTGGGATAACGTGAGAAGCACTCAGTTCCGATACGCATTTTGTGTGAGGGAAAGAGAGATCATGAGATATGTCAGTGACATTAATGGACGAATTACAGTTGTTTAATCGGAAAAGGAGGAAATCTGGAATTTCGTATTTAGCTATTCTGTGTTGTGTGAAACGTGACATTAATGGACGAATTACAGTTCTTTAATCGGAAAATGGGGTTAATTGGAAAAGCTTCATTGTGTGTTGTGTGAAATAATGTTGATTAATTTCAGATTGCATGGCGCTATGTAAAGTGAATCTAAATTTTAATGCGTTTATCTTGATATAATAGTGAGATTGTGTGAAGAAGGATATTACAAGTTTAAATGGCGGTGCAAGAAATATGGTGAAAATGACATTTTGTGAAAAGGAGTGTAAGGAAGGGTACGTGGCTGCTGAAAGTAGTTGAGTATAGGTGAATTTTATTAATTTTCTTATTACTTGGTGAAAGACTTCCAAATTAGATTTAACTTGAAAGTTGACTACTGGATTTAGGATTTAGAAATTAGCAGTATACTGCGCGATTAATGAAGATTCTGAAGAGATTAGGTAAGTTAGTATTTTTATCATTGAGGATATTATTTTTTATGCATTGTTCTAAATGTAAGGAGTAAATAAATTAAATGGTATTATTTGAAAATTGTTATTAGCAATGATTGTTTAAAGTAATTAGGATTGTAATCTAATTTTTATTAATTTAATGTATGTGCTTATTTATATTTTAAGTAGTGTTTTTTAATTTAATGATCGTGATTTTGTGAGTTATATGTTTGTAGTATTTGGAATAGTTTGAGTAGTATACGTGACTATTTCATGCATTTTTCGTGAAATTTTTCTAATTTATGAGAAAAAAGCAGTGTACATGGATATCGTGAAGAGTGTGCGCAATGCCATTTTTGTGCAATTCTGGGATGTTTTTTTAAGTAAAAATAAGTCGACGTGTACATGGTTTATGTGTACATGTTATTGTGAAAAACGTGCAAGGAGTTTGCAATTGTGCACTTTTTCCCAGTTTTGCAGTGAATATTTGTCATGATTAAGCAGTTTTGTTAGATAAAATTTCTAGTATAAGTGTAATTTGGCTAGTAGATTGTTTGAAAAAGTGTTCAGTAAATAAAAAGAAAAGAAACATGTCTTTACTTCGTGAAGACAAAATGGCGGCGGGGAAAAAAAAAAAAATAGAGGGTTGCTGTAGCAGATGGAAATAGAGGGTTGGTCGCCAAAAAATTGCCAAGTTACCATAATCCAAAGATCACCCCTTAAGAATTTTTTTAAGGAATGAGCTGAGATTAATTTTTTTAAGGAATGAGCTGAGATTGAGAAAAATTAAAATGTATTTTTGTAAAAATATACAACAGTTCCTGAGAAGGATTTACAGGCATCCTTAAAAGTTTCATATTTAATTGCAAAAAATTTAAAACCTCATACAATTGGAGAATCGCTCATTCTTCCTTCAGCAATTAAAATTACATCATTTATGCATGCAGAAAAATATAGTAACGATTTAAAAACAATAGCATTAAAAAAAAGATACCGTTTCTCACCAAATTTTTGTCATATCAGACACTATAGAATACAAAATCCAGTCTTTACTATAAAACTTGATGAAACTACCAACATTACTAAAATGTTTCATTTCATCGTTTATGTGAGATATGTTTTTGAAAACGATGCAGTGGAATATTTTTTATGTTGTAATATTTGGGAAGGAAAAGCAACTGGAGAGAAAATATTTGAAATTTTAACAGACATTTTGAAACAAATAATCTTACCTAGACACACTGTGTCGCAGTTTGTACTAATGTAAGCTTTTAAAACTAAGCTAATACTTTGGCCAAGGAGAATTGAACAACAAAAAAAAAAAAAAAAAAAAAAAAAAGAAACATGTTTTCCAAGATTTTACTAAAGAAAATAATAGATTTCTTGTTTAAAACAACACATGATAAAACTGACTGAAAATTTTTTGAAAAAATTCCAAATAAGGAATTAGGTTGGATCTGTGACCCATTTTGCCTTTATTATTTTCAATTCCAATGTATCTCTAAATGAAAAAGCACAATTAATTGATATTTTAAGTGACGGAATACTGTGGGTGTTAAGTCTCTAACTTGCCAAAAAATTTTAGTTGATTGGAAACTAATATGCCGGATTTAAAAGGAATGAAAGTAAATTATTATGTTTCTTACATAAAATTGTACATAAACTTTTAGCTTATATTTAAACTTCTAAACTGCTTATCTTACATTTTCTGTTATATAAGCATTAAAAGTGGATTCTCGCTGAAATAGAAATAATTTTGCTATTGAATTAACATGGAGAACTTTTTATTGAAATATTTTTTTCTCTGTCCTTAGTTGCATCTACTACAAAATAAAGATTAAAGAACTGTTTTTAAAACATTTTTGAATTTCGTTGTCATATTGATCTATGAAGCACTAGATTAGTGGAGTTTTTATTACATTATTGACAATATAATAGTTTTTAAAAGATCAAAAAATTTTCAGCGGAGATAATTATTTGTCAAATATGAATGTGTTTTCAAGAGGAATAAATAATAAGTGATAAAAGAAAATTCAGTTAGAACATTCACATCTCTAACAAGTAATTTGCTTTTTGATTTAATCTTATAATACATATATTTAAAATGATAAGGCAAAATCCAATGCGAAGATTACGATAGTACCTAGAGTATTCAGCATTTCGTATAATCCTATAACCAGATAATAATAATATTAAAATATATTTTATCTGAATGAAGTTTTCTTATTACAGAAACAGTAAAATTATGCAATTACATAAACGAATACACTTTCAGACAATATACTTTTAATACTGTTTACAAGCGTAAGCCAAAGTTCTGTTTTTGTTACTTCTCGCCCTTCAGCGCATGCTCAAGAATTACAATCCAGGCGAAACTAGTCGATTTGTCCATGACGTCAAAAATTCGAAAAGTGGGGTAGGGTTTGGAAATACGCGCCCCGGGGGCCAGTTATGCTCGCTACTCCACTGAACCAGAGCGTTATCCACTACCATTTCTAACTGACTGTATAAGTATTCTGCATGGAAAAAGAATTTTTTTAACGAACAATTGTTTTTCCATGTTTAATTAAACATGTTTCCAATAATGTTTTTAATTTGATAACTGTCTACCAGTAGACTCCTGTTCACGAAACTGATATTCCTAATACCTCCATTATAAGACATTTCCAACTTTTTGAAATTTCGACATTTGGCAGTTCAGGACAGTATTCATAAAGCTTGGGAAGGTTTGTGAAGAAGTGTAATTTCACTTCCTTATTTCTACTTCCGTGGTCGGCACCAATCCTCTTCTCCGTACTTTACCTTTTCCACTCTTTAATTTCAATTTTAGAGAACATAATGTGGCAACAGATATTCTAAATTTCTTTCGCTTGTTTAGTCTCTCTTCCGTTCGCGGGAAGTGAGTGTTTTTGCCATCAGTTACCGTATTTCTGTATTATTAAATACTCTGAGTAAATGACTATTTATTTACCTGTGTAGTGATTTCATAGCGAGTATATGACTGGAAAAAATATTATTTTAGCTTTGGAAATTTAAGAGAATTTTTTTTAGAAGTGAATCCCTAATGGTGCGGCATGTGATCATCCACGGAGCTTGTTTACATTAATTGATAATGAATTGTGAGTATTTATGTGTTTTTTGTATATAAAGTTAATTCTGTACTTTATTTTTGGTTTTGTTTTGCTAAGTACTTGTTATGATATTCGTGTTTGTAAAGATACAGAAATACGAACTCGATTAAACCTCTAATGCCGTATCCTTAAGATGTATATTAAATTTATGTCTTTTAGTCTGTTATATCAGGTTATAAGAGAAACGAAAATACTGAATTCAGTATAATTTTTATATTTCGTATTATCTATCATATCGGATTTTTGTAATTTGATAAAATAACGCGTAAAAGAATTATTTTTGCAGCAACTTCATATAGTATTGCTATTCATCTGAAATAAATACTTTAACACATTGCGGGTAGAGTAGACTTTAAGGTGTCCCTTGTATTATGGCCAAGTTGTTGTTTCATTTATGGTAGCCTGAGTAGTTGAATGTTATGGAAACCCGATTGTGACGTAATCGGGTGCCTGATTGTGGGAAATTTCGAATCATGGGGTGTTTTGTAAGCGTTTTTGTGTTGTATGTTGGTTTGATTCTTTAGACGGTAGAATGGCCGAATGTAGTAAGACTAATTTGAAGTTTGTGTACGATTTGGAGCGAAAGGGGAAAAGAGCTTTAATTGACTGGTGTGTAAATGCAGGTTTACTTAGTAGCCATTATAAATGTCCTGTATGTAGGAAGGATATGCGTCTAGTCGAACATAAAAACCATTTAGATGGGTTTGTAGGAAGAAAGGTTCAGATGGTCACTATGTGAAGTATTCGATCAGAAAGAGTACCTGGTTTGAAAAAAGTCATTAGAGTATGATTGATATTTTGATTTTTACGTGGCTCTGGGTGTACGAAGCGAAGTCGAAAATCATGGTAAGTGAATATTTGCTTTTGCTAGTGCTTAAATGAATAACATGTTTTTCCTTTTTTATGTTATTTTATTGTTTGGTTTAAAATGTATTTTATTGAGATTATGTATTTTTTGTTTGCCTATATAGTAGAATTGGGTGCTCCTTTGACTTTTTAAGTGAAACTATATCGATATGTACATGGACAAAGTAAAGGGAGTGCACAATGCAAGTTTGTGCAATTCGGGGGATTTTTTTTTTTTTTTTTTTTTTTTTTGAGTGAAAATAGTTCAACGTGTACATAGATAAAGTTAAAAGAGTGCGCAATGCCGTTTTTGTGCAATTCGGGGATTTTTTTTTTAAGTGAAAATAGGTCGACGTGTACATGGATACGGAGTTTGTGCAATTGTTTTGTCTTGTTATTTTGGCTTCGTGTAGCGGCGATTTTTGGAGCAAAAATAATGAGTAAAAATTCGCAAGCCAAAATAATGAGTAAAAAAATTGCACAAAATCAGTATCCGTGTACCGCTAAAAATGGCCAAGGGTTAGCCTAAACTATACTTTTACCCACATTGCTTTAATGATTTCTCAAATTATAGGGTATTCGGTATATTTAATTTCTCAATCAACTCTATTGATTGTAGTGTCTTGTAGTTAACATACAGAGACACACACAAAAGGGGTTGTTCCCAAAATTACTAGATTCTTCTATAAAAAAATATGTAGCATAGTATTCTGTACACATTATTTTCTGTATAAAAAAACTGCACAACTATGAATTTATCAGCCATGTGAAAAGTAATCAGAAGTCTTGAGTAAAAAAAAAAAAAAAAAAAAAGCTGCTAAAGTGCTGAAACTATTTAACCCCTCAAAACATACATAAAGTATGTGCAATGCATGTATTTTTGTAATGCGTGTATTTTAAGCAATCAGATGTCTGGAGTTAAAAAAAAAAAAACTGCTAAAGTGCTGAAACTATTTAACTCCCAAAACATACATAAAGTATGTGCAATGCATGTATTTTTTTGTTGATAGAATATTCTATCCTATAGTCTACTTGTAATACTTTCAACTCAAAAATTAAAATTTCTTGATGTAATTATTTATCTCCACTTTTACCGTGAAATTTTTTTTTTCCCTTGCCCATGCCCGAGACACTTCATGAAAAATTTATTTCAGAGATTAGGAAAGGGGTAAAAAAGAGTGTAGTATAAATAGAACAATATTAACTAGAGAACTTAATCAGTTTCATTACGCTGCGTATCCTCGCAGAATTTATCTGGCAGACACGACACCATCTGCAGAGAAACATTTTTGTGTCGAATGCATTTGTCTTTTCTTTTTTGCATGTTCAATAGACAGTTTTATGTTACACCAATGGTTTGTGATAGTAATTTTTCCGTCATTTCCAGTAATGAAACTTTTATTTTTATTTTGACAGTATATAGTAAACCTGTTTGTGATAAATTTATAGTTGATTGCATATGTACTGACATTACTTATTGACCAGCATTAAATTAAATGTGTTGTGTCTGTACCAATAGTCTGGTTTTCGGAATAAAAATTAATAATGAAAAGTTTTTAAAGTGTAGCATTCTAAATTAGTTTAAACTATGTCATTCGTGAAGTATATCTAGTCATATTCAGGTATATCATGTAGTAGTTTAAAGTATGCCGTTTCAAAGGGTTAAAGTATGCCATTTTGTTTTTAAAGCCTGCAAATATCAGGTTAGAACATATGTCGGTACTTTTCCGTTTTGCCGGCGCAGGCGATAAAGTTGCCAATAATGGTACAACTGATGCCAAACGGAATATCCTCGCTGGTAACCTTTACGCCTCATTTTCAAAACAAGTTTCAGCCATTTCTTGTCAGCTTCACTGTTTCGTTCAATACTGCATACAGTTAGATAGAATTTTTACCAGATAGTTCAATTTTGTGTCCTAAAGCAATTCGCGGTAATTAAGTCAATTAGGATGCAGTCGCACCACTCACCCGAAGGCGAAACTATAGAAAAGGCAAAGTCAAGGGTTAAATGCATTAATTCTAATGAGAATGCACTAGCGAAGTAAAGCATTGCAGTTTTACATAATTTCTGAGTAAGCTTTTCGCACGAGTTGAAATAATTCTTGCATTCCAAATCAAGATTTAACTTCAAATTAATGTAGATAATTACTCAGAGAATTAGATTTTTGTAGCGTAATTTGGGTGAGATAAGATAATTTCAGATCACATGACATGAACGGGCAAATCAGGATGTTGAACCATGAAAGCAAAGTAAATTCTTAAATTAATGCCTTTTTACAAATTTATTGTCTTTATTTATTGGTCTTTTACAAAATTGTAAATGATATTAAAATGTTTATGCCTTAAAAATAAAAAAATATTAGAATTAATATTTGTTAAAATTTTTTATGTGTATACTGTATGTTGTCACCAATAAAGTTTGCTTGGCAAGATTTGCGCCGGCGAAACGGAAAAGTACTCGCATGTCTTTTTAGAAAAACTTATTTTGGCACATTTATTTTATTTCAGGTTCTGTACCTGGGAAGACCTCTGTTGATCTCTTCTTTTTCTTTCACATTTGTATTTAAAAACTTACATTTTCTGGTTGTCAGAGTAATTTAAATACCCCTATATTTAATTTAGAATTACACTCCACAATTTAGAAGCACACATCCATGTGCAAACTTATTTATTTTTGGAAAGTAAGTGTTCGAGCATGATAAGTCAATGTGAAAAGCAATTCATTTTATTATGCAGTATTTGGATCAATAAAAAACTGATAAGCATTTTATCTACAAATCTTAAAAATAAACCATGCTAAGTGGAAAAGGCAAATATATATATATAGTTGAAAATGAAGAAATTGTGTGCCTTTTAATGTTTTCAAAGTATACTAAATATATGGTTTAATTTAGTTCTGGTTGCCAGATTCATTAGAAAATCTATTCATTAGAAAATCATTAGAAGCTACAACTCTAGGCCACTTACACGTATTAAAGACAATTCAGAAGGTCAGAAGCCATTGACTCTCGCTTGTTTCTTACAAAGTATTCCTAGCAGTGAAACAACTTATTTAGACGAAATCGACAGTAAAAGCTGAATATAAGAATGTGTTTAGTACAAAAGTTAAGGCTAGATATAAGAATGAGATTTTGGAATGAGTATTTAGCAATGTTGATTCATAAAGGTAAGAGCCGGGAAGAATCTTTAAGATTTGTGGAGGTCGTTCTCTTAGAAACTGATGGCAAGCGTATCAGCTGGCCTTTAGGTATCATTTTTGAAATCTTTTCTGGAGCAGATGGGCAATTAAGAGTTGCCAGTGTGAAAACAGCTGATGGAGAGAAAGAGACCATTCCAGATACTTTATCCTTTAGAAATCAGCGGTTCGGAAAAGTTACCATTCGTTGCTCAAGATGTTCTAAGGGATGAAAGTGCCTCTGTAAAGATGCCTCTACACCCTGCAGTTAATGATTCATCACCCAAAGTCCCACATTTTGTCACTAGAGCTGATCGATGTGTTAAAATTCCCAATAGACTTAATTTATAACTTTTGTGTTGGTTTGTGCATGAGTAAGTTTCCTCAGGCGCAGTTTTCATTAAAGAATCATAAGTCAAAAAATTAACTATTCTTTAATAAAATAGGATAATTTTGCTTAACGTAAGCATAACAAAAAGTAATAATCTTCGATTCCATCCTACCAGCCCAGCATCCCGTATACGCGATGTAACGATTCTGCTCCTACGAGCTGGCGTCTCGTATATGTAACATTAAAACTGAACGATTTATTTGAATTTTTAAAAGCCAGTAAATGGAGCTAAGTAGTAATTGTTTTCACATGGGTTGATTCATACGGCATTTGACCTTCATGTACTGGCATTAGCTTCTGTTTTGTGCTTCTGGTTTTGAGATATTTATTGAAATAAACAAACTGGAAATCAAGGCTCTTTATAAGTGCACCTGTGAATTAAAGGGACACAGGAATTTTAATTTATTTTGTTAGGATTTTCTTTCTTTCTCTCTTTTTCTTTTTCTTTTTCTTTTTTTTTTAATTTTGAAACTTAACATAAACTTTCTTGGTTAATTAAAGAGTAACATTATTACAGAAGGGGAAATACTATCAGCTTTCTCCACGTGTAATGCGTCTTGCTTGCATTTCTCATGA